CTCGATTATGCTCAGTGGAAATCATTATGAGAACGCATTGCTCCCAACGCATCTCGTCATCACCATCATCATCAGCAACATCTTGAAACGCATGCTCGTCATCACCTTCGTCATCAGCAGAATATTGAAACACATACTCATCATCATAATCGTCATCATCAGCATCTTGAAACACATGCTCGTCGTTACCATCGTCATGGGCAGCATCTTGAGACACATACTCGTCATCATCATCATCATCGTCATCAGCAGCATCTTGAAACACATGCTGGTCAGCACCATCGTCATCAGCAGCATCTTGAAACACATGCTCGTCAACACCATCGTCATCAGCAGCATCTTGAAACTAACGCTCGTCATCACCATCGTCATCAGCAGCGCATTAAAACACATGTTCGTCATCACCATCATCATCAGCAACATATTGAAACACATGCTCGTCATCATCATCATCGTCAGCAGCATCTTGAAACACATGCTCGTCATCATCATCATCGTCATCACAAAAAACACCCACCTCTCATATAATCGTACTACAGATGGATCCACTTCCGAGATAATCCTATCACATATGGATCCACCTTCCACAGAATCCGATTAGGAATGGATCCACCCCTGATAAGACCCCACTACAGATGGAACCACCTTAAATATCATATTATGACATATGGAGCCGCCTCTTATATAATCCCATTAGAGATGGGTCCACAACTAATGGCATCACATCAGAGATGGATCCACCTCGAATGGAATCCTGGTACGGATGGACCCACCTCTAATATAATCCTTTTTACACATGAACCCACGTCTGATAGAACCCCATTACATATGCGTCCACCTCGAATATAATTCTATTAACGATGGATCCACCTCTGATAAAAACAAATTAGACATGGATACACCTCTAATGGACTCCAGCTACAAATGGATCCACCTCTAATAGAATCCTAATAAGATGGTTCCATCCCCAATGGCATGCTATTAGACATTGGTCCACCTCTAACAGAATCCTGTGACAAATGGATCCACCTCGGATGGGATCCTATTAAGGATGGACCCACCTCTAGTAGTATCTGATTAGAGATGGATCTAATGGAATCCTAGTGCGGATGGATCCATCTCTAACAGAACCCTATGACAGATGGACCCACCTCTAATCTAATCCTATTACATATGGGTCCACCTTTGAGAGATTCCTATTAGGGATGGATCCACCTACCTCTGATGGGGTCCTACATGACATGAATCCACCTCTAATAAAATACTATTACATATGGATCTACCTCTAATAGGATCGTAATACAAACGGGTCCACCCCCAATTCAATCCTACCAGAATCCTGATACAGATGGGTCCACCTCTGATGGAATCCTATTACAGATGGATCCACATCTACTAGAATCCTGGTACAGATGGGTCCATATCTAATGGAATCCGACTACAGCTGGATCCACAATTGATGGAATCCTATGAGAGATGGGCCCATTTCAACTGAAAGTCTATTACAGATCGATCCGCTCCAAATGGAATCCTAACAGAGATGGGTCCACCTTTTAATAGAATCCTGCTACACATGGATTCACCTCTAACAAAATCCTATTACAGATGGATCCACCTCTAATTGAATATTATTAGAGATGGGTCCACCTATAATGGGATCCGATTAGACATGGATTCACCTGTAAATGGAATCCTATATGAGATGGATCCACCTCTAGTGGGGTCCTATTAGCGATGGATCCACCTCTAAGATCATCCCATTCCAGATATTTCCACCTCTAATAGAATCCGATGAGAGATGGATCCACCTCTCATAGAATCCTAGTAGCGATTGACCCACCATTTACACCCCCTCCCTACAAAAGGTTTTCTTTTGTGGCGGATTGCGAATTGATTCCTTTTGTGGCAAAATATGCAGTGATTCCTTTTGTGTCGGATTACAAATAGATCCCTTTTGTGGCGAATTACAAATGAATTGTTTTTGTGGCGGATTTGAAATGGATTTCTTTTGTGGCGGATTGCAAATTGCTTACAAGGATGATGATGATGCTGGTGATGGCGATGCAACGCAGCAAAACGAGGTGGTACGCACACACGGTTTTATCAACTCCACCCTCTCCCCCCCCAAAGTGCCCTGCCGGCGGCACGGTGGACCGGTGGACCGATGGGAGCCGGGGAGGCGGGGTGGCAGGGGAACGGCTGCGCAGGTGGGGAGGGGAGTTCGAGTGCGGCAACTCGTGTCCGACGTCGGCGTTGGTCTCTGACACCGCGGGGAAAATTCAGCCTTGAACGATCGGCCGTTTCCGAAGCGTGAGATCGTTCAACATCGACCGAGTCTGGGTCACCGGCGGCGCTCGACGTTGAACGCCCGCGGCGGGGTTGCCGCCGGTCGACACCGCGAGAACCTACCGAAGGATATCGACTGTATAATGGACTTACCCCAAAATTGTGTCCCCGTCGAATCTGCAAAGACAAACGCAGATTCGACGGAGCAACACAATTCTGGAAGAGATCCATTCTGCAGCCGATCTCCTACCCGATGAGTGGGAGGGCACGGCACAACACGGGCGGGACAGGGTGGAGGGTGGCGGGGCTCAGGAAAGGGCGGGGGGGGGCAGCAGCAGCATCAGGTCGGGCATGTCTCCCTAATTACCGGCGGGTTCTTGACAAAACATGGAAGATACCCCTAAAAGTGTGCAAACCTGGCAAGACAATTGTAGAAGAATCGTCCCCAGACTATGTTTTTCTGTGGGACCATTTCTCATGATTCGCCCGACGTAATTAACAGCAGCAGCAGCAGCAGAAGCAGCCCGAGTCGTAGCGCGAGGAGCCCGCACGAGCAGGGAAAAAGCGAGGCCCCTCGCGGCGCGAGCCGCCCGCCTGCACCCCCCTGGGGTGGCAGAAACCCCAACACCATGCTCTTAGAACATAACCCCCGGTGTGCCCAAACAAGACAGCCCCAGCCAGAACTGTTCGAAGAACACTCCGTGCAGACCACAAACCGGTTCTCAGAACATCCTCTGGTGGGCCTATGTAGGCGAGCCAGGACGCTTCGCCACTGCTTGACCCCGGGCAGCCTCAGAACCTAAACCCCCGACGTCCTTTTTTATTGACGCGACACCCAGAGGTCCGGACCCATTCCCCGAGACCAGTTTTTCATCCTGCAGCTATCTTTTTACGGTCCTGGAGGCCCGTAAGGGCCCCCGGAAGCCCCACATAGCGAAAAACCGGTCGTCGTGATCTTTTCATGATTCGAGGGGGTCTGGGAGGGATCCCCTCGGGGATCTTCTGACCCGGGTCAATCCAGACCCGGGTCAGCAGGAAACCCAAAACTGCAATGCAGGAAAAAAAAAAAACTGCACCGCAGGTCTTCGCAGACCCGGGTCAGCCAATACGCGCGGCCGCCTCGCGGCCACGAGCGGCTCCCTAACCCGGGTCAGCCAGAGGGGGTCTTCGCAGGATCCTGCAGGATCTGGCGCCCTGGCTGACCCCTGTCTGTATTGACCCCCGTCTCAAGGCTCCCGACCCCCCCCCTTCTCCTCGCGGCCGGCCCTCCTCGCTCGCTCCACGCCCCGCGCCGGCACAGCTCGCTCGCTCCGTGGCCCGAGCTCGCCGCCCGACCGCAGCCGAGCGCGTGCGGCGCCGGAGGCGACCACGCGCACCGGCGGCACCAGGCTTCACGAGGGGGTGGCGTAGGGCTCGGACGGGGCGGGGACGTGTCCTGATGCGGCTGGCTCAAGTCGGGCGCTGCTAGAGGGCCACATGCGAACCCTACCCCTACCCCCCACGATTTCTGAGGGGCAGGGTGGGGTTCACTTCGCTCGCGAGCTCCCGAGCGAAGTGAATCCCACCCTACCCCTCACCGCCCAGAGACGGGGGCCGCCAGGTACCCCGGGCATCTCGGCGCGCACCTCGACGTGGGCGTTTCGCATTGGGGGAGCGGCGCCAGATGGAGGGATCGAGGGTTGCAGGCAGGGGGCCCCCTGACTGAAGGAGCGCTGACATGGATGCAGGCGCGTGGATTGGCGGCGGGTCGCGTTTCCGAAGACAAGCACCGCGTTCCGTCGCCGAACCAGGCAGCACTATAGCCTTACATGTCGGGGGTGCCTTCCCCGATCCGTGGATCTGGCGCCCGCGCGCCAGATCCACGGATCCCTCCTCCACGTCGGCGTGCGCCCGGCTGGAGGAGCCCCCCCGGGCCCCAGCGGTTGAACAAGATGCGCGCCTGTCGCCACACGCCCGCTTGTTGCCCCTTCCTTGCAAGCAGCTAGGGGGCCACATGCGAACCCTACCCCTAACCCCCACCCTGGTCCTCCGCTTGCGCACCGTTCCCATGACTCCGTGCTCCCCCGGTCCACGGCGGCGCGGCAGGGTGGCGGCGGGGGGCGGCTGTCGGGGATCTGCCGACCCGGGCCAACGCAACGCAAGCCCGGGTCGGTCAGGCCTTGCAAGATCCTGCAAGCTCAGGCCTGGAAATGGGCACCAACACCAATACAAGGGGTTGTCCCCACGAGGGGAAGATGATCCTCAATTCCAGTGTTGGTGGTACTATTTCCGCCACCTTGGAAGTCCGAATATTACCACCATCACCGAGGCACACCGCCGAAATTGGTGTTGGTGTCCACTTCTAGGCCTGCGATCCTTCAGGACCCCCCAGGATACTGCAGGACCCTGCGCGCCCGCCCGGGCCAGTGCACCCCTGGCTGGTGCAGGACCCTGCAGGACCCTGCGCGCTCTGGCCGGCGCATGTCTGAATGGACCCCCGTCTCTGAGTATCGTTTCACCGATCCCCATCCCCAGCGGCATGGTCTGGGCCCCACTGGCCGATTTGCCCCCCTAGATGGGGATATAGGCCGTCCCCTTCGGCTTTCGAGGGGTGTATCCCCAACTGGGGGGGGTGAATTGGGTGGGGGTCTCGACGGGGACGGGGATGGGGATGGGGGTCGGATAAACGATACGGAGTCTCGAGGCTCCCGAGGCTGCAGAGATCCCCCCCCCACCCCGGGTGGTCACAGAAGCGGGCGCGGCGGTCGGTGTACGCGTGGCCGCACGGGCAGGCCTCCGCGCGGGGGGCGGGCGGGGGGGGGGAGGGGGGGGAGAGAGGAGGCCGCGAACCAGGGGGGCGTGTCAGGGCGGGGGGCCGAGGGGAAGGAAGGAGGCAGGCGACGCCCGCTGCGCCGAAAGAGCACCGCCGATGACCGACCTGGCCGCACTCCGGGGAGGACAGAGCAGGATCAACCTCACAATGAAAAAGCACCCCGACGAGGAAAGCCGGTCAGGAAGCGCACCCAGAGAAGGAACCGAACACAGGACAGTGCCGTTCAGTAGACGCCGAAAGCCGTTTTGCAAACGCCAGTTATGGGGGCCGGAATGTCATAGGGTCCAATTGTGGTCGGTTGTGCCCCACTTGCGGCCGCCCCGTCTTCTCCTCTCCCATCCGCCCGCCCCCCCCCCATGAGACAGCACCACCTGCAGCGCCAGAACTGCAGGCCAGACCTGGGAAGCTCTCCGGAAAATAATGGCAATAGTGCGTGGACGCCTAAACAATCGATTGATTCGTGCAACACTTGTGGAACCCTGCGCGTGTGGGATCCTATGCGTGTACCTACCCCGAGCCGCCGTGCGTGTGGCCGCGACGCCTAAACAGTGTGTGTGTGTGTGAGTGCGTGTATGTGTATGTGTATGTGCTTCTTTTTGTTTGTGTGTGTGTGTCGCAACGCGTGCGCTTGACCAACCAATGGTGCGTGTGTGTGGAACCCATGTGTGAGGAACCTGTGCTGTGCGGAACCCCGTGCTCCTGGAGGCGCTTCGTGCGGAGCCTTGCGCACGTGGAGCCTCATCGTACGTTTGTGCGCGTGTGTGTGTGTGTGTGTGTGTGTGTGTGTGTGTGCGTTTGTAACCCGAAGCCTATGCGCATGGGGCCCTGATCCATGTCCAGACCCAAGTCCAGAGCCACGTCTCGGCGGCGACGATAAGGGCGAATAGCCCAGGGGCGGGCATTACACGTCTTCGCCCAGGAGCCTCTTCGAAGACATAGATCATCGGCGCACCGGAATACTTGTATTGCTCTCCCCTGGGCTATTCGCCCCTATCGTCGCCTCTGATCGTCCGAAGCCACGCCCCAGCATCAGGTCGGGCCTGTCCCCCTACAAGGGGATTTTGGGCGAAAACTTAAAAATACTCAAAACATACTCCCAAAATGTTCGAAAATAGTCAAAAAATAGTTCCCGGACTATTTTGTTGACTATTTTGGAATACTCCCCTTGCAGAGGGACAGGCCCGACTCAACCCTATCGTCGCCTCTGAACGTCCGAAGCCACGCCCCAGCACCCGCGCGCCCAGCGAGAAGCCAGAGCCAAAGGTCGGGCGTTGGCAGAACTGGGTTTAGTGAAACCTGGTTTAGCGATCTGTACCGGGGGCGCCCCCCCGTCCCATCTCCACTAACAGGAACTGCCGCCACCCGAACAACACAAGTTACGGCAAACCTCGTCCTCCCCCTCCTCCTCCTCCTCCTCCTCCTCCTCCTCCTCCTCCTCCAACTCCTCTCCTCCTGCTCCTCCTCCTGCTCCTCCTCCTCCTCCTCCTCCTCCTCCTCCTCCTCCTCCTCCTCCTTGTCGTCGTTGTCGTCCCCGTCGTCGTCGTCGTCCCCGTCCTCGTCCCCGTCCCCGTCGTCGTCCCCGTCGTCGTCGTCGTCGTCGTCGTCGTCGTCGTCGTCGTCGTCGTCGTCGTGGCCAATTGAGGGGCCCCAGAGCCCTACCGCTAACCGGGTCCCCTTACCCGGGGTCCTGGCCATACCCGACAAATGGGGCGCGGAGAAGCCCGCGGGGCGGGAGCGGCCCGGGCTCCCCGCCGGCCAGGGCAGGCCTTCCCCCCGGGAGCCGGGGCGAGAGAAGCCCCTCGAGAGTGCAGGCGCTCGTCGGCCGGTGGGCTGGCCGAGCCTCGGAGGGTCGATGCTCGCGCGGCTTCGAGCTCACTCGGGGGGCGGCCAAGAGGGGGGCGTCCAAGAGGGGGGCGTCCAAGAGGGGGCGGCCAAGGGGGGCGTCCAAGAGGGGGGTGGGCGCAAGTCATGGCCGGCGGCGTGTGCGAGGCCCAAGGGGGGGGGGGCCAGTGGCGTAATGACCTAAGAAGAGGCGCCATGAAGTCTGGGGAAATTTCACGGCCCACGCCATGATCTCCAACCCCCGCGCATAGCCATCCCCCCCCTCTTTGCCGCCCCCGAATCACTGCCTTCGACCCATGGCAGGAATTGCGCAAGCTTCGCTTCGAGAGCCACGGGCGTACTCGTAGCGCTCTGGCCCGTCAAGCCCCGGCCCTCCTCCCTCCTCGCCCTCCCGCCTCCTCGCTCCTGATCGCTTCCCTGCTTCCCTGGGCGGCCACCTTTCCATCAATAGAACAATAATACGAGTAAAAGAATCATAGTAGTGTAATAGTAGTATTCCTAGTGCTACTACTAATAACAATAAGCACCACAATAATAATAATCAACAACTGCATAAGCATAAACTTCCGACGATGCGCCGGATTCCTTGGACCTGCGCTGGCCCCCCTCTCTGGCGCGCGGAGCGCGCCTGGGGCGGCGCTGGAAGCGCCGCCGGGGGGCCCAGCGCGGATCCAAGAAATCCGCGCGGAGGGCCAAACGTTTATGTGTATGCCGTTTTTCTGATTCGATGATCGCTACACTGGGCGGCCACCTTTCCATCCCGGCGGCTACCCCCAAAAATGCAGCAGCTTAGAAACCGCGCAGGGCCACCCCAAGAAGGAAGAGAGCCTGCCGGTGGCCCACCTTGCTGGTCTGGATATTAGGGGCGAGCGGGGGCGGGGCGCATATTTTCCGTCACCGCCGTTCGCCTCCTCCTCCTCCTCCTCCTCGGCAGCCGCCTCCATCGCTCCTCCTCCTTCTCTTCCTCTTGCTTCTCTTCCTCCTCTTCCTCCTCCTTCTCTGCCTCCTCTTCCTTCTCCTTCGCTTCTCCTCCTTCTCTTCCTCATCCTCTTCCTCCTTCTCTTCCTCCTCTTCCTTCTCTTCCATCGCGCCTCCTCTTCCTCCTCCTTCTCTTCCTCCTCCTCCTCCTCCTCCTCCTCCTCCTCCTCCTCCTCCTCCTCCTCCTCCCCAAGGAGAGCTGTCACCCCCGTGAGGCCGCCCACCACGACGTCACAGAGATTCGCCTCCTCCCGTGCTGCACGCCCACCCAACTCCCCCTCGAGATCCGGGGGGCCCGAGTCGACTTTTTTCAGGGCGAGCGGGACCGCGAACGACGATACAGGCGGATGCTGCTCTCCACCCCTCCCTGTCCCTCCTCCTCCTCCTCCTCCTCCTCCTCCTCCTCCTCCTCCTCCTCCTCCCCCTCCTCCTCCCCTCACCCTCCTGCGACAGAAGCGGAGAATACTACCCGAAGCTGGCCATGGACATAATTATTTCCCCTTCCCGAGACGAAAGCGACATGCGAACAAATCGGGTTTCAACCCGCTCGGCTGATCTGTGGCGTGGAGGGCACACGAGTAACGATCCTGGTGCGCAGGATCTCGAGAACTATAACGACACACCAGTCACGGCCACAGGCAAACCTTCGGATGTCTGCACGGACTTCTTTGCCCAACGCCGGATCGACCCCCTCCCCCACCCCCAAACCACACCACTTCCGCAGCGCGCTCCCCGCGTCAAGGGCGGTGCAGGAGGCGCCGCCCAGGGGGAACTGTGGGGAGGGGGTCGATCCAGCGCCGCGCGAATAGATCCGCGCGGACATCCGACGATCTATACTGACGTTTATTTCTATGCGCAGGATTTGCCTGGCCATGGTTGCTGTCAGGATACGGCTGGCACTCCCCGACCACTTCCCTTCCCTTCAGACCCATCCGCCCAGACATCTCTGCTGGGGTGCAAGATGGCCAGAACTCTGGAGGGAATCCAGCACTCGCGACGAGAATCCTCTCAAAAAACACGACGGCTCGCCAAACTTGACGAAGTCTCCACCAGAAGCTGGAGCCGCCTCACTGGCACGCTGAACGCACCTGAGGGTGGCGCCGGAGGCGCCGCCAGGGGGCTCCAACGCAGATCTAAGAAACCCGCGTGGGGTTCCGACCATGTGTGTTTGTGCAATGTATTGTTCTTCGATCCTCAGTCCTCGACTTCAGTCGGGCCTGTCCCCCTACAGGGAGATCTTTGGGCAAAAAACTGAAGATAGCCAAAAACTACCCCACGAATGTTCAAAAATAGTCAACAAATCGTCCCCTGATTATTTTTGACTTTTTAAATATTCCTCTTGTGGAGGGACAGGCCCGACTGAATCCTCGATTGAGCACAGTCTTCATTTCGGGCCGGGCGATAGCAAAGGGGGCCATTGAGAATCAACTCACGCAGCTGATTCTCCCGGCGCCTCCCGGCGCCAGGAGGCGCCCATGTAT